CCACACAGTAAGGATTTGAAGCTCGCTGTGGGTTGGCAGTGCTAACCACCACACTACTACAATATGTATTATCCAGCAGAACCAACCACCACACAGCCTGCTGATGGACACACAAGAACTATTTTACTTGATCTATCGGAATCACATTTTCAGTCACTTATTAGTCAAAAAACATGTGTCAACTTTAAAAGCTCCAATAAACATTGCATCAGTAAGAAGCAATATTTATTGAGCCCCTACTTAATTATATTGCATATTATATGTTCTTGATACATCTTTCGATATGACTGCAGCAGTTATGTTTCCCTGTGTAGTGATTGGACTACTGCATTTAGTTGTGTAACCCTGCTGAAGGGAATGGGCTGTTTGGGATCTACCATGTTTACTACGTCATTAGTTATCTGTAGTTTTCAATGTCATTGACTTTATCTTGCAAAAGGTCTTTTACTGATTTCCTTCGGCCATCACCAATTCTTTGCACTTCTTCCAAACATCCTCTAGATGTCCCCCTTAGTTTGAACTCAAGCAGGTGAAAACGGCATTAAGCTGTTGGGCTATTGTCTCCTGACAGAAACATATATCCCTGGATATTAGCTTTAGATTTTAAATCCCTGAATAATCAGCTGTGGCTGTTGAACTTTGCCTTGTTATCTTCATGTATAATTATGGTTAACCTCCTGAACACTCTGCATCTGGCTTTCTGCAAACTTGTTAATGTGAACATGTTTGCACAGTTGTTGTCGCGTCAATTTTCTATAACCTTTTTAATCTCCGTTTTTCACGTTTATTTTGTAACATCCGCCTCGTGGGACTAAAGATGAAAAATAGCCTTTTGGTTAACTGGCACATTCACAGAAATATTTTATTAATGTGCACTGCCCCGTATTAACTAATCTAATAATTTTTTTTTTATTTTATTTCTATTGTGCACTCACGTAGGTACTTTGTGTATAGAAACGTTAGGTTATTGGGTGCTGCTCCCTCTGTATTTTGGTGGAATTATTAGAGAAGTAAGAGGGCCATTTTGTGTTTCTTTCCCAGAGGTTGTTAGCCAGGCCTAGTTTTGTTCTTAATTTAATTTCTATTGGTTTGTCACAACCAGAACAATTTCTCCCACTTAATAGAACCTTTGTACTTCAGGAATCAGGAATCAGGAAACATTTATTGGCAAAATATGTCAAACATACAAGGAATTTGTCTTGGCGGTTGGTGCGTGACAGTAGACAGTGTAACAATAGACAACAAGACAGCAGTGCACAAGTAATAAAATAAAATAAAATGCTAATGCAATGGGTTAGTAGAATAAGGCTATGGGTTAGTATAAAACAAGAGAATAAAGTTAGTTAAAAATTAGTATTTAGTATTTAAAAAGTTAAATAATATTAAACATAAAGTTCACTTCACCGTCTGGTACGCTGCAGCCACAGCCAAGAACAAGGGCAGGCTGCAGCGTGTCCTCCGCTCTGCAGAGAGGGTGATCGGCTGCAATCTGCCGTCCCTGCAGGACTTGTTCGCTTCCAGGTCTCTGAAGCGAGCTAAAAAGATGGTAGCCGACCCCTCCCACCCCGGACAAAACCTGTTTGTGCCCCTTCCATCTGGCAGGAGGCTGAGGTCCATCAGGACTAAGACCTCCCGCCACACCAACAGTTTCTTCCCGTCGGCAGTCGGGCTCATCAACAGAGCCGGTCCCCCACTGACTGACTATAACATTCCACCGGTCACTCCCCTTCACACTGCACATGTCACTTTAACTGTCATTCATCACTTTGTCGTCACTTTGTTACTTGTTCGTTAGTGCACTTTATGCTTAATATTTCTTTAACTTTTTTAATATTTAAAATTTGTAACTTTATTCCCTTGTTTTATACTAACCCATAGCCTTATTCTACTAACCCATTGCATTAGCATTTCATTTTACTTTATTTTATTACTTGTGCACTGCTGTCTTGTCTATTGTTACACTGTCTACTGTCACGCACTAACCACCAAGACAAATTCCTTGTATGTTTGACATATTTTGGCAAGAATTGTTTCCTGATTCCTGATTCCTGATGAGGTCGAAAGGGGGAATACACTGATATGGATCCTATTTAAGTTGGTGGAAAATTGTTAAGGATTGAATCAGACTGACCTAACGTTCATGAGTGGTAGATGTAATCACAGAGATTGACAGGCCGAGCTGCTGGTTGTGGCGAGCTGCCGTTCACATCATAGGTAGCTACCGAGGTCGCGGCGAGCTGCCGTTCACATCATAGGTAGCTACCGAGGTCGCGGCGAGCTGCCGTTCACATCATAGGTAGCTACCGAGGTCGCGGCGAGCTGCCGTTCACATCATAGGTAGCTACCGAGGTCGCGGCGAGCTGCCGTTCACATCATAGGTAGCTACCGAGGTTGTGGCGAGCTGCCGTCCACAGCGTAGGCTAAAACAATAAAGGGACATATGTATCGACCGCGCACGCTAAATAACCCATTTGTAGTGGTCGAGTGAACGGTTTGGCCGGAGTGCGGAGGGGGGTGCGGGGCGGGGGGGCTGCTGTCAGTCCGCTGGTGCTCTCTCTCCGCTCGCTGCGGTCGGTTAACAAAACGTTGCCCAAATGACCCTTTTCAGACTTAATGAACAAATACAGAATCCCTTTGTGTTCATTTCTAAAGCATCGCATTAAGACACACATGACTTTATTTAAGACGCTGCGCTACTTGCAGGTCGCTGTGTTGTGCCTGATTCTCAATCAAGTTAGAAACAATGATTTACGGCGAACGCGTGGACGTGAGGATACTCATTAACATGTAATTTGCATGAGGAGGAGGAGACGGGTCCATATCTCCACTGAAAAAGGTTCCGACCACCGACCACCGGAAGAACCGACCAATGCAACCTGCCGATACACAAAGGCAGCTACCACCGGCCACTGCAACCCGCCGATCCACAAAGGCAGCTACCACCGGCCAATGCAACCTGCCAATACACAAAGGCAGCTACCACCGACCAATGCAACCTGCCGATACACAAAGGCAGCTACCACCGGCCACTGCAACCCGCCGATCCACAAAGGCAGCTACCACCGGCCACTGCAACCCGCCGATCCACAAAGGCAGCTACCACCGGCCAATGCAACCTGCCGATACACAAAGGCAGCTACCACCGGCCAATGCAACCTGCCGATCCACAAAGGCAGCTACCACCGGCCAATGCAACCTGCCAATACACAAAGGCAGCTACCACCGGCCACTTTTCGCACTCGGCCCTACTGCTCTTCTGTCCGTCTGTCCCTCTGTGCGCATGCGCATGCAGAAGCCTTCCCTCTGCTGCTCAGCTAAACATATTGTAAACAAGCTTAGTTTGATGCCAATTCAAACCATATTTCCTTTTAAGTTGAGACGGAATGTTAAATGCTGTTTTCTATCCATTTTTTTTCTTCCCCCCCAAAAAAGTAAATAATAACGTTAAAATGTATTGTAAAGACCCTTTTTGCCTATCAAAAGTTAGGTCCCCTTGGTTGGTGTTTTGAGTTCGTTTTGACGCGTTTAAATAATCCTTGAGACATTTCCACTTCTTTATTTTGTTCTTTAATGACACCATCCAGTTATCTTTGTACATGCCTCTTCCACCCTGTCACGCTCACGTCAGGCATGAAAATCCCTCACCTTTCGGCGAAATTCGCCGTTTTGAAACCAAAATAGGTGACCTACGTGAATCGTGTAGATTCTATGTTTTTTTGGGGGGGTATTCATATTCAGTAAACTGCGAACAGGGTGAGTGATGGTTTCAATAATTTTAATATTTTCTGGTCTATCGAAGTTAAGTTACCCAGGAGCTTTGTTGACATAGACTTAGCTAACGTTAGCTACAGCTTGATGAGTTGAGTCATTTAACACAGCAGGAGAGAACGCGACGTTGGCCAGCTAGCTAAAGCTGCGGTAGCTAACGCTAGCGTTCTTGAGGAGGTAGATGTTGAGGTGAGGGGACCGACGAGGCAGAAGGTGAAGTGCTCCACCGTTCTATCAATAAGCGAACCTGCCAACCTGTTCAAAGTACGCTGGTACGATTTGTCACTCTAAACTACTGTTCTCTCCGGGTTCTCCGGCTTCCTCCCACAGTCCAAAGACCTGCTCTGGGGATCACGTTCATTGGGGACTCTAAATTGCCCGTAGATGTGTGAATGTGAGTGTGAATGGTTGTGTGTCTCTGTGTAGCCCTGCGATTGGCTGGCAACCAATCCAGGGTGTACCCCGTCTCTCGCCCGAAGTTGGCTGGGATGGACTCCAGCCCCCCCGCGACCCTGTGTGCAGGATAAGCGGTTTGACAATGGATATATATATATATATATTTATATATATATATATATATATAGAATTATTTTGCCTTGAGATGCCTTATTCTTAAGTTTTCTTCTCTCATAGAAAGAATACCTTACTCATTTATTCGTTGAAAATATTTAATATATTCAATGCAACATTGGACTAACATTGCGGGCATGACTCGGACTGCATTTGGATGTATTTCCATTAAAGAGGAACGTTGTTCTGATAGAGAGATTTGTGTGATGAACCCAATACAAAACCTAACCTCAGTTTTTCAACTTGTCCATTACAGTCTAATTTATGTTGGGGTGAAGTTTCTGTGTTAACGCTGGAACATCCCACAAGATTTACATTTCCCTTCTCAATCAAATTAGTTTGTTTGACGATCATGGTCCGATCATGTTCAGTTTGTTGTTTTCTTACTTTTTGCTTCATTTTATTATTTCCAGTAGACAGTCGGACTGGAGAAAAGTAGTCTTAATATTATATTTCAGTCAGCAGCAATAGCCCAATAATGTCTTACACTACAACAATTTTACTTTTACTGCAAAAGGCAACAGCCTCGAAGTATAAAAAACAATATATGATCCACAAGCACAGAAATATTTAGCTATTATATCAGAAGAAGCTCCCACGACGCTATTCTGCTCGTGTTGCTAGGGGAAGTGACGTCACCGCCAACTGCACAGTAAAGTGACGCGGCGAACGATTCGATGTTAATCTACCTGCAAAATCCGCCTCCATCCTTCTAATTTGGGACTAGAATGACCCCCGAAATACGGGTAACATCAACTACGCGTCTCGCGCCACCGAATGATATCGATATTTTCCGTCTTCGTCTCTCAAAAAGATAAGAAAGGGATGTGGACATCTCGCCTGGTGGCGGTAGGAGCGGTGCTCCAGCGGGGACGTGGGTTGAGGGGGCTGTGAAGGCGCACTGACCGAGGCGAACGAAGGTTAAACGCGGAGCGTCAACGACGAGCAGCCGTTCACCGCCGACATCGCGTCTGTCCGCAGTAGCGACCAGCGGCATGGAGCTGAGGGTGGGGAACCGGTACCGACTGGGCAGGAAAATCGGAAGTGGGTCTTTCGGGGACATCTATTTGGGTAAGGAGACTACATGTGTTAAATCCAACTTAAAAACCAAATGTTATCCTTGAATTCACTGCTTTATAGCCATGCGTTTAACCCCGTCACAGTCCGGCGTCATTAATGTTCATTTCCTGGTTGTATTGACCTCGTTGCGATAACACCCGTCTAGCTAACTTTGTTGTGGCTGCTAACGTTACGTAACGCTAACAAACACACGGGAATGATTTAACGTAAGTTGTATGTTATTTGAAGACGCGTGGCCGACGTGTGGCTCTGCGGGCTTCATGTGGACACCAGGCGGGTTAGTGACAGACCGGTAACCCGGTGACCAGCGCCTCACTAGTCCGCTAGTTTAGCTAACGGGTCCACAGCCCTGATGGTCACGTGACACTGCGCGGTGCTTACATGGCGCGTTGTGACGAACTTCCGCGCTTAATCCCGATGAAGCCACTGATGCGTGACATGGACCCACCGGGGCCCGGGCGGCCTGGTTCCTAACCCCGGCCCGGCTACGTCTGAACCCCGGCAGGCTATATCTCCTCTGGTTGATGGAGGCATCGGTTACCTGTCTGCAGAGCAGGTGTTGATCTGCAGGTTGAGGAGACTTCTTGGTCCGTTTGAACTGAAGTTGCATGTTGGAGGAGTTGACTTGTCGTGTGTGTGCTTCCACATATTCAGGACGTGTAGATGTTTCTGAATTTGCACAGGATTTATTCAGCTTAGTGTAACTGATCCAGCCAGCAGTTACCAAACACCCGCTGAGGCCTCCTGTTTAACCTGTAATTGAATGAATTTCAGCTTGAACAACTAAACACATGTACTGTATCTCACCATATATTCTTTTACTAGACTTTGTCACAGCATAAGAAAAAGTAATCAGTAAAGTTCCTTTTCAACCAAATTTGTTCTGTCGTCACTTGCTTGTCCGTGATAAATATATTGTACCTCACAGCTTTAAAACATACATTTGAAAATGTGAGGCTTGAAGCCAGCAGGGACAACGTGTCCAGTTATTCTAGGTCATCTCTCCGTACCAGTTTTTATTAAACAAAGTCTCAGCAGGTATTTCAAAATTCTGCTGAATAAAACTGAAGCACTCTGGACCAGGGGCCTCATTTATTAAACCTTGCGTAGGATTTGCACCAGTGGCGCACGGATGAAACGTAGGACGTGCGGACGCACAGAAACATTCAGACTTATAAAACGTCCTACGCAGTTTTCCCTTAATAAATCACAATCAGTAAATGCAGCGCAGCTTTTGCGGCTTCGTGTCACGCCCATAGTTGTCCATATATGGTCTGTGGAACGCCCACAAATTAATATTCATCGATTGGGAAATCATGACAAACACTGAGAGGAAAACGAAGAAACGTAACTTGACTCAGTGTGAAGTGGAGATGATCATTGGGAGGTGGGAAGGAGAAGTAAGATGCTCTTTGGAGGACACAGTGTGGATCACTGATGCCAACAAGGCACCTGAGGGGCAAAAGGTTACAGAGCAACGCTGCAGCCTCACGACCTCGGACCCAAATAAAGAAAAACTGGTCTGACATCAAAGTGGAAGCAAAGAAGCGTTTAGCGCCATCGCCAAAGTGTGTCTCCACGGGGGGGAAAGGGACGCCGGAGCTGTCCCCTCCTGATGAGAGACTGGGGGCAGTGGTTGGGGATCGGGGACAGGGTCTGGGCCAACATCGGCGTCAGGGGGTCGAGGCACGTTTGGAAGCTGAGCCACATCATGTAGCACCGCACACGCAGCACGATGTTACACACCTTCTCAGGAGTAAACAACAACCTCCTCCAGTGCACTACAGCGCCAATCCTTCCATGTGCCACGTCTTCTAAGAGCGCAGATCAGCCATCAGCGCCATTACGCATCGTGACGGCATCACGGCGTTTTATTACCGTCCGTCTGATTGCATCTGACAAGCAACAGCTGTGTTTAGAGGATGAATTTAATAACATGCCGATATTATTGCAGAACATATTTCACTTTTCTTTTTGAAAATGTGTTAATTAGTATTTCTTTTTGTTTTACGCTGCAGATCAAACGTGTGTTTGTGTTATTTATAAGAGGCAGTATTGGCATTTCTTTTACAACAGTCCAGTTTTACACACTTTCACACACGTTTGCGTGTTTCTTGCATTTGCCGACGTTCTCATTTCACCCGTTTTTGTGGGTCCGAGCTTGCGTGAAGAACCGCACATTTTTCCGTCAAGTTTGCTTTTTAAAAACACCAATTATTGCGTAGAGAGCGTTGCGTACGCCAACGTTTATAAATGAGGCCCCAGATGACCACGTCTCTACGTGGCTCTTGTACTGTGGTTGAACTGATTAAAGTAACCATATGTACTAACTTTTGTCTTTTTCCAGGCACAGATATCTCAGTGGGGGAAGAGGTCGCCATTAAGTTGGAATGTGTGAAGACCAAACACCCCCAGCTGCACATCGAGAGCAAGATCTACAAGATGATGCAAGGAGGAGGTGATGTATCGGATCTCAACACTGCTACTCAATTGATTCTCATTTAAGTCTTAATATTTCAGCTGAACTCTTGAGGTTCTTCTTATCATCACTGACATCAATTCAGAAATAGAGAAAACCAATATTGTAGCCTAGATGGTCCCAGCATCTCTAAAGTTGCTTTTGCCCGCCTGTTTTTTCAGTGGGCATTCCAACCATAAAGTGGTGCGGGGCAGAAGGCGATTACAATGTGATGGTGATGGAGCTGCTGGGGCCCAGCCTGGAGGATCTCTTCAACTTTTGCTCGCGCAAATTCAGCCTGAAGACCGTGCTGCTGCTCGCTGATCAGATGGTGAGGCTGGACGCACGCCTTCAGCACAACACGCCCGCGTAGCGCTTTCTAGCAGTAATGAGCAGGCGCCTCGTTCATTATGTGGGACCGCTTCACTTAAAATGGCTTTTTCCCCCAATTTTGTGGATGTACATTTTCAGGGAGCAACTCTCTGACAGTGTAAACATAATAATGAGAGGTCCATTCCAGCCGGCTTCAATAATACTATAATGAATTATATAAAATGCCCAATTGGTTGCAAAGTAAGTACTTTTACTTCTATGCTTGAATTAAGTTTCCTGTTAGTCTTACATGCTTGTACTTTATTGAGATTGTGAATTCAGGAGCTTGTACCTCTAAGTGTTTTTTTGTATTGTTTATACAAGTCAACGGTCATTGTACTCTTTGGTTACCAACAGCGTTGTAATTGAGCCAAATTTACACTTCTATCTCACATCCCAGCTTTTAAGACACAGGAGCTCTGCCTCATCGTCTAACTCATCCATATTCTTCTTAGACATAGTTGTGTTTGGACAAACTTATCTGACACTTTTGAAACACCCTCTGGATTTGACTGCTGTTCCAAAACAAACCACATGCTACAAGCGATTTGTGTCCTTTAAGAAGCAGGTGTTTGGTAAGAAGGGTGTCGAGTCCTCGTCAACCTCAACGCAGCACTGCTCCGCTTTGCCATTGCAAGCCGAGCGATGCTCCCCAGCCTCCCTGACGGTCGGGGAAACACTGCATTATGCTCATCCAGAGAATTCATTCACATGTGAGGTGAATAAGCTGCTGGAACGCCCTCATTAACGCGGTGACGTGACCTGATGACTCTGTTCTCCTCCAGATCAGTCGCATTGAGTACATTCACTCCAAGAACTTCATTCACAGAGATGTGAAGCCGGATAATTTCCTGATGGGACTGGGCAAAAAGGGCAACCTGGTCTACATTATCGACTTTGGCCTTGCTAAGAAGTATCGCGATGCTCGCACACACCAGCACATCCCCTACCGCGAGAACAAGAACCTGACGGGCACCGCCCGCTACGCCTCCATCAACACACATCTGGGGATCGGTGAGCACATGAACACATTACTGCAGGATGTATGTTTGTCTTCATGCGTCCTCTTGTCCTCCCTCTGCAGAGCAGTCTAGGCGCGATGACCTGGAGTCCTTGGGATATGTTCTCATGTATTTTAACCTGGGCTCGTTGCCCTGGCAAGGCCTCAAGGCCGCCACCAAAAGGCAGAAGTATGAACGGATCAGTGAGAAGAAAATGTCCACCCCCATTGAGGTGCTCTGCAAGGGATACCCCTGTGAGTGTTTACCAACTGCTTATTGCACGATTCTATATTTAGTCATCGAGCGCTGAGAAGTCTTCCCCTTCTCTCGCAGCTGAGTTTGCGACCTACTTGAATTACTGTCGTGGCCTGCGCTTCGATGACAAGCCGGACTACTCGTACCTACGGCAGCTCTTCAGGAACCTGTTCCACAGGCAGGGCTTCTCCTACGACTACGTCTTTGACTGGAACATGCTCAAGTTTGTGAGTGACGAAGCGCTCCCACGTACACTTGGAAGGTTTGAGTGCTGTGACTCTGACTCTCCGCTGCGCTCAGGGAGCCAACCGGGCAGCAGAGGAAGCGGAGCGAGAGCGCCGGGACCGCGAGGACCGGCTGAGACACGGCAGGAACCCAGTGGCCCGCGGGATACCTGCTGCCTCAGGACGACCACGAGGAGCCCAGGAAGGAGCCCCGCCCGCCCCTCTGACACCCACCTCACACACAGGTCTGTGTTGCAGACCACGGGTCCCACTCAACAGTAACATTGTGCAGTTCGGTTCTGGAGTTCAGCTTTCTGTTGGTATGAAGCGATGCACCAGGCTTCTTCTCCTCAATAAGAAAAACGTCTTCCACTATGAAGCGTGTTCTTGGATTCCACTGTGACATCCATCCCCACCTGATGGCCGTCTTTGTTTTGTCCCTCTGGTCCACAGCAAACACGTCCCCCCGTCAAGTCTCTGGGATGGAGCGAGAGCGAAAGGTCAGCATGCGTCTGCACCGCGGCGCTCCCGTCAATGTGTCCTCGTCCGACCTCACGGGACGGCAGGACGCGTCTCGCATGTCCACCTCGCAGGTACAAGACACCCCTAAAGACTCACTTTCTCCTTGCTCTGTGTCTCTTAACCCAGTGGTGCCCAACCGTACTGGTCCATGGGTATAAAACCACCAGTCAAACATCGGCTGAAGCGTCCTGGCTCGCGTTACACACCCTGTCTGGGATTGGATCGCATCGGTCGAGTGTCATGCGCTCCCACCACTAACTTCTGCACTACAAAACATGAAGGGGTTGGAATGTTGACATTCTGAGATAAGACATTGCTGAAGTTGTGGAGACATTCAGACTTTACCCACTTTAATGTGTTAGGGGTTTGAGCAGTAGAAATCCTGATACATGCAGTAATGATGTTAGATATTCGTTAGCAAACACAATTTATAGTCATTTAATTGATATAATCACTGTACACATTGACATCCGGCCACAATGTAACGTTAAGACCAGGAGACAAATGTTAAATTTGTCTTATGGATTTCTTCCAATTTTCTCCCCAAAGCGTTTTTCCTCCCGTCAGTAGTGAATGAGGCCGCACGAACAGAACCAGCAGACTCCGGCTCGGGGTGCAGAGGGATGGAAAGCTTCCACGAGAATTTGGGGAATTTAAAAAAAGAAAAAAAGTGCCAAACCTTAAATGTAGTTGAGGAGAAGACTTTGCACGCTGAGCTCAGCTGGTTGGGAACCTCGTGTCCCACAAACATCAGCATAAAACATTGTGTTGATCCTGATAGTTTATTTGTCTACAGTAGACTCACTTTACAGCCGTGAGAGGTGGATGTATGTATGACACAAAGTACACCATCACCTCCATTATTCATCATCCATCAAAAAGCGCCAGTTGGGCAACTTGTCACACTGCAGCAGCCTGTTGAGGCTGTTTTGATATTACCGCTAAATCTATTCATAAAGTATATTAACAAGCTGCTAGTCATTAACAAACTAACTACTCGTGGTCAGTGTATCAGTGCTGCGCTGACATGAGGAGACGGGCTTCTGTCTGTTGGGAAAACTCTACCTTGATGTCTCGTCAGTCAGCTGTCTGACTCTATTTTCACAGGTGAAGGTATCTCAAAAAAACCTTTTTGAACGGTCTATTAAGATAGTTGCGTAGATGCTAACGGGTGCTGTTGAAAGAACGTTGGGCCCTCTAACATAGGCTAACGTGCTACGTAGGCTAACGTGCTACGTAGGCTAACGCGCTAATGTTAGAAAGTTGGCTGACTGACGCCTCCCAAATCACATCAACCATTATTGCTGGTTCCAATAACGGCGTTATCAGATCTCTAACTTAAATAAAATAAAGTTCTACTCACACATTGTCAGTCTAAAACGTTGTATCAGAAATGTGTGCACGTCTGCCTGTGACACGGTAAATACAGTCACATGACCTTCCTGCGTTGTGTGGTAGTGACAGGATGTAGCTTCTGACCTGACACATTGGGCCTTCTTTCTCCTTCCCCAACCTCAGAATAGCATTCCCTACGAGCACCACGCCAAGTAGACGCTCGCCACGTCCTTGTGTGACGGCGGCAACACTGGGTGAGTCTCCTCCCTAAAACGCCAGCGCTGCATGCATCCACGTTGCAGTTGTGGGCCGCGCCCTCAGAGCGGCGTTGCTCCCCTCCAGACAGAGAGGGAGACATGCGATGAGCAGGAGGCAGCGCTGACACAGCGACCCTGCCTGCAGTCAGGGGCAAACGCTTGTGGATGACCTCATCTGGCCAGATGCTGAGGCTCCTCTGACAACTGGCTTGGGTGACGCATCCTGGTGCCTCCTCTGCCCCTAATAATGCCTCTTTTAACCAGCGCGCTGGATGGCCGGCCCACACCTACAGCGCCCTGCCTCCACCCAGCCCTCCATCCTCAGCTGCAGTTCACTGGTTTCGCCGGCAGAGTTCTCCCTTAATAATTGCACGTGTAGCTTCATGTGGAAGTCAGTGATCAGCACGTTGCCGGTTGTTCCGAAGGGGAAAAGCTCACCGACTAGGAGCAGGATGTACTGTTGGTGTAACCGTCCTTTCAGCAGCAGCTTCACTACAGTGGCAGAATAATACTGCACCACTCCACACATTGCTTCTCACTCTTCTGTGTTCTGTGTCCGTCCAATTCCTATATGTTAGATGAAGTGTAGAAGACAGTTTGATCACATACTTGTAATGGATAAAACATGCCTGCTGTTGGTACATGAGGTGGTATTACATCGGTCTCATTACTAATGACGCTGCCGTTACAAGGCAGTGCTTGTAAAACAAACCACACTAACCTGCTGGTTCCCACTGTAAGGGAAGTCTAACAGCTAATGAGGACTGCGTACTTGTAGTGTCCCCACTAAGGGATGTCCTCCCGTCCCGGCACGGAGACCTGAGATGAGAAGTATTGTTGCATCGCTGCTATTGTTCCTGCGCAGACCAGATCACATGTAGTACTATCCCAAAGCCTGAGTGTCTGCACGCCGTCTCTGGCTGCTGGTGAACTCATGGCCACCTGGGCTGTGGGAGATGTTCCTGTCATCAACGGGTGCTTCTGCATGATCCATGCAGTGGATGTTGTTCAGTGCTATGGACCGCTGGGCGGCTCCGTTATGAGCCTGCCTCCTCCACAGCGAGTCCTACGGCTTTGAGATGCACTCTAGTGGTTTCTGCTGTTCACCCTCCTGCTTCCTGTTTCCTCTAGATGGTCTCTGCTGTACCGACTGCTGGCCTCCATCTCCTGGCTCCTCGATGAGCCCCCACGATGCACTTTGGCGGCACGAGCCCTCCTTTCTCCCTCCCTTCCTGTCTGACCGACCAACACACCGGGACACGTTGTCCAGGACTGACGTGGCCGGTGGTTTCTAGGACGCTGAGGACAACCGCTGTCCTCAAACACGTGTCGTCGATGGCTCCATTTCCACGGTCACGTCTGTGCCGTACGGCCGCTCACAGTCAATAAACTGTGTGTGATGCTGAACCAGCAGCTTCCATGATCTATAGTAGTCTACGTGTAGTCTGCAGCTTTTCCCATCGTGTCTCTGGTTCTGTTTATCGACTGCAGAGCCGTCCTGAATAAAAACAAAGTCCTTGTTTTGCATGTTTTTTTTTGAGGTGTGTGAGGCCGGAGTGCTGGTTGAACCTGAGCGTAGCAAACACTGCGTCTGTAAGATCACGTTCATTCTCTAAGTTGTATCATGTTGAAGCTGTGAACAGCGTGTAAATGTCGGCTCGTCACCACTGGTTCTGACCGGGTCCATGAACACGTGACCTCTTCAGAGAAGCCGCGCTGCCCGAACGTGAGTCGTCCCACAGCAGCACCGTGACACGACTGGTGTGACTCTCGGACTAAAGGCCCGTCAGTTCATTCTCGCTGCTGCTCATTCTCTTGTTTTGGACTTTGACCCTTGACCTCTCGGTCAGCCGCTCAACACCTAGTGAATTATGGAAGTGGAGAGATCGCATTTATATTTGTGTACTTAAACTGTAAATAAAAGAATTACTTGTACCTTGTTCCTGTGGATGAAGCGGGGTGTCTCTGTGGGGGGGGGGTCTGTGGATGAGCGGGTGTCTGTGGGGGGGCTGTGGATGAAGCGGGGTGTCTGTGGGGGGGGGGTCTGTGGATGAAGCGGGGTGTCTCTGGGGGGGGGGCTGTGGATGAAGCGGGGTGTCTCTGTGGGGGGGGGGTCTGTGGATGAAGCGGGGTGTCTCTGTGGGGGGGGGGGGTCCAGTTGAGAAAAAAAGAGTCCAATTTATTACTGTCGACACTCACTGCTGAGTACATCACAGTGACTGAGCACTGCTGCACATGCAACAAGACCCATTTTGCCATTAATGTATGGCCTTCGTCTACAACGTAATGTCTGTTGTTAAACAGAATGCAAAGTGTGCTGTGGTGGCCTCTGTGGATGAAGCGGTGGTGTCTCTGGGGAGGGGGGCAGCGTGTCACTAAATAGAACAGATGTCATTCAGACAGAAAACGTGTATTTATTTGCAGTGTTGAACCGTACAGGAGGCATTAAGCACACGGATTACAGCAACTGGCATCACACCAGTACAGCACAGCCGGTCCCAGTGGGACTGCAGTACGCAGACCATCGACATACATTCATCAGCACTCATGTCATGTTGGTTCAAGTATCCCACAGCGGAAGTATGAGTGACACCTGGTGGTGGAGCTTCACATTGCTGGTGAGGGAACGTCCCTTTAGGAAGCCGTGGTTGGTCGGTCCAGACGCACAAACATCTTGGAGGCCCCCGTTTCCCTTCAAATACTATTCTTAAAACCACTTTTTCAGCATGAGTTAACAATTTTTATCTCACGGTCCATGAAGGCCGCGTGCTGAACGGGCATCACGTGACCCAAGCATGAGGCGTGTGTCGTGTGTGAGCATCATGGGGCGACAGGAATAACAGGCCCACATGGAGCATCTCCTTAGAAAGACTTATCAAAAGAAGTGTGGAGATATATAGAATAAAAATAAATACACTTAAATTGAAATGGTGGAAGTATGGAGAAATTGTTCCATTTATTTCTTTGTATATTTTTGTTTATTCTTTATACATATCGCGCTCTGTGTAAGTATTTTTACCTTGTTCATTTATATCAATTCACATGAAGGAATTGGGATTAAAAGTGAAAATGCTTGTATTATAAATAACACACACGCCTATACATACATTTCCACATTTATTTCATTTAATTATCTTTATATTAGCTGAATTATCCCTCTATACTTCCACATTCATTCTCCGATCCTTGGCCTGATTTCTTTCTATATGCTATAAATATTGACCCTCCAGATGGTTTACACCCCCCCGCCACAGACCCTCCCCAGTGCTCTTTGGGTCCTCTTGGTCCTCTTGGATCACTCCGCCTCCCCTGCCTTCTGAGCGCAGTCTTCTCCCATCTCTTTTCCCATTGTCGCCTCTTCATCTTCCTCCACCACGCAGTTCAGCCCCTCCATCTCTGTAGTAGTGACCGCCATCTCCATCTTAGCCTCGGGATCCTCCTTTCTCCCGCTGAGGCAGAGGAAGTTACCCAGGGCGATGACGATGGCCGACACCGTGACCTCGCAGCCCGCCAGCAAGAAGACGTGCATGTACTGGTGGGTGGTGTCCAGGAGGCGACCTGGTGGAGAGGATGAGCACATCAGTGTGAGTACTTGGTCCCAACAAGCCGGAGTCACGAAGAGAACCAGACACGTCGGAAAATATAGAGAAGATAACGGTTCGTTAGAGGACATTTGTGTCCATCGTTATGGAATAAAGATGGTGGCTTCAGTCCGTGAGTTAGTCGCTGGCACGCCTGGTAGGCAGAGAGACCCCTAAAGACCCCAACACATCTGGATTCCCTGACAGAGCAGACCGATGCAGCCCGTTCATTGCTTGATAACAGCACCTTCAGTAGAAGTTTAAAGATCTGCTACTTGGAATCAGACATTATGGGATAGTTCTTCATTTACATTTTTGAAATCAGGTGAAACTATTTCAAATAAACTAAAGCAAAAAGGTTGAAGATCACCTCATAACAAACACATTTATTGTATCTTTAGTGGATGGAGGTGATGGTTTCATCACACAGCAGTCCTATTATCTAGGACCTTCTGACAGCCTCAGTAAGAACATATGGAGCAAAGGTCCACTGTCTCACACATGCTCTGACCTGCTCCAGGAGGTCCCAGGAGTACGGCAAACGCTTCCATCAGCAGAACCAGGCCGATGGCGCTGGAGAACTTCTCCGTCCCTACGATGGTCATGAGGACCTCGAACTGCAGCGCGCCCACCATGCCATAGGACATACCGAAGAAGATGCAGAAGACCACCAGACCGGTATAGTCCTTTGCCTGCAGGGAGAAGAACACAGGGTTCATGAGCATGGTGGGCAGGAAAGCAACCCGCTGATTGTCATCTCCACTAGAGGACAGAATGTCCTCATGTCCCTGCGTGTGCTGCCGGGTACCTGTGACCCTACGAGGTCGGTGATCCCGTTGAAGAGCATAGCGAAGCTGAACAGGTAGACGGTCCTGGGCCGGACCCACTTCAAGCCCGCGATGAGTCCCGACGCAGGTCGAGCAAACATGTCAACAAATCCCAAGATGGTGAGCAGCAAGGCGGACTTTGTGTCCTCGTAGCCCAGGCCTTTAGCGTAGCTCACCACGAACACAGGGGGCACAAACAGGCCCAGCACCATGATGGACGCCGCCACGGTGTAGATGAGGAAACCTCGGTCCTTGAACACGCTGAAGTCCAACAGCTTCTTCTTGGGCTTCTCCTCCTCGACAGCCTGGGCGGTGCCGTCCTCCAGCTTCTTTGGGGGCAGCAGGGGCCTCATGAGGGCCCCGCAGGCACAGCAGTTGAGCAGTATGCCTCCCAGAATGAGGAACCCGCCCCTCCAGCCGTACTTGTCCTGGAGAATCTGCCCCAGTGGGGAGAGGCAGCACAGAGCCACGGGGCTGCCCGCCGCTGCCAGGCCGTTGGCCAGAGGACGTCTCTCATTGAATTAGCGATTCAACATTATGAGGGACTGCTGGAAGTTCAACGCCAGACCCAGACCTGAGGAGACACGTGGTATTGACACCGAGTCAAGGACTGTGTGTGTCCATGCAGCATGTATCCCACTTTACAGCATGATTATGCTCAGAAGATGAGACCAGAGAACATCTAGTGGGCCTTCAAGCTCAAATGCATTTAGAAATGTAGTAGTACGAATTGATGGAGGCCTCTGATGTGTTGTGTACCTGTGATGACTCCAGTGCACAGGTAGATGTGAATGATGCTGGTGGCAAAGGAGGCCAGGATCATTCCCAGCGAGGCAAAGAGGCCTCCAACCATCATCACCGGTCGACAGCCGAACCGGTTCACCAACACACTGCACAGGGGGCCTGCAGAACCACAGCCACAGTGAGCACACACACACACACACACACACGCACGCACGCACGCACACGCACACAGTGCATCACATGGTGCTCTACCTGTGCCGTACAGCATGGCCAGCAGTATGGAGGAGATCCAGGCCGTGTCACTGTAGCCCACATCGAACTCTCGGATCAGCTCCTTGAAGAAGACGCTGACGGCCTTGGGGAAAGCGTAGGAGAAGCCGGTGATGACGAAGCCGCCGGCCAACACCGCCCAACCCCAGCCGCCGTCCGGTGCCTTCACCCCTGGAGGTCCATCGTCCACCACTGCTCCCCCCATGATGCTCTCTGGATGCTATGGCTCTGAACCCTGTGGTGAGACAGAGCGAGACGGCAGGGGGGGCTTTCAGCTGCTGATGTTACACAACCCACAAATCAAATGTATTTGTACACACAGGCAGAATAAAGCATGAAGCACAGAAGATCAACAGACGACCATTTACACATTAAGTGGCCTCGAAGGCCTGCGTGAGCTCCTCTGTTAGTGCAGTGAAGGGTTTGAGAGGACAACATGTGAACAGCTCATCGAGACGGCCGTCCTGAGCCTCACCCCCCCCCCCCCCCCCCCCCCGCTCCGTAACCACAATTAAGGCCTTCACGCGCTGACCGGGTTTAAGTGGAACACTGCGCTGCCAACACACCTCAGCGTCATATTCATGATGCAAAAGGTGCTCTCACTGGGTTCTCCCCCCCTTCTCCCAAATGATGACATCCGGACCACATCACCACTTTCTGTGACTGAGCTCATGGAGGTGGGGGCGGAGGGGTGTGGGCAAAGGTATTTCTCTCCACACATTATATATTGCTCATACACCCACAATTTTTGTGACCCAGCAGAACGGAGGTGTGTCCTCACGGGGCAAAGACCCCTCAGTGAACTGACACACACACACACACACACACACACACACACACACACAGACAACTTTCCTTTGTTAGTTTGTAAACACTGTGCTCCAGACATTCCTGCCTGCTTGACCTTTGTTCTGTTGTTCTGTAAAGCCGGGTTTTAGACCTTCACCCCCCAGCTCGGTGCCCCATGTTGAACGAACAGCACGGCCCTGTGGGGGATCCACCATGGAGTGATCTTCGGGAAAGTGCCCTCGAGGCGGCGTTCAGTCACCTGGTCCGTTTTTCACGTTTGCTGTCGTGTCCTTCAGACGACCTTATGGGATGCATCACCACGCTGCCATAACCCCCCCATTCAACAACACGCGTGACCTTCAGCAGCAAACACCACATCACATCTCTACATGGTCCATCTCACTTCAAGCGTCCGTTTTCTATAGAGAAGTGACCAACTGGCCGACTCTCTTTTTGACAAACGTCCTGCCAATCACGCCGTCTTTATCCGTGACATCTACAGGAAACTCCCTGGATCATCAGCGATAGGGTCAGCGGTTGTAGTTCTGAAGGTCCAGCGCAGTCGTTGGACTTCCTGGAGGCTTCAGGGACACGTTCTACAAGGCTGAATATTTTACTGTGCAGCTTCCTCAATCCCCCCCTTCATGACCCCAGTGTGAACCACGGGATCGTCAGGCACCCGCCCCCCAATAAATAGACCTCCATCCAGCTGCACGCACACGCTGCATCAGATGAAAGCAAGTTGTCGTGCATTGTGTGACACACACAGAGTCACAATTGACCCTGCCTGACAACGCCGTCCCACACAGCTCTCCAAGAGACTCTACTGATCACCTGGTAGAATGTTGTGACTCGTGAAGGACCTTTAAATGTACGGCAGCGCTACCGGACCTTTTGATCCATAGCAGTCGAGTTGAGGGTGAGAGACCACGTCCCGTGGACACCAGCTGGGACCAAACCGCGGGTCCTCTGATCATGGACGCCAAATAGAAATAAACCCTGTTATAAGTTAGGGGACAGCTGAGAGACCGGGACGCGGAGGACGTTTCCGCGATTTCTGCGCGACACCAGAGCTCAGAACACCAGATCTCCCATCCGAGATGTCATCGTGACGTCACGGGCTCCGCTATGCAGCCGAGCGCACGTAGGCAGTCGGGCGCCTCGCGCAGACGCGGGGGAGGGATGCGCTCCTCTATCACCTGGACCCGTCACGCCCCACCGCCCCCGGGGTCTCTGCTGCTTTATTTCACGTGTCGCTTTACAGTCACACAACGGTCCACCGACCGGTCCTCTAATGAATACACCGCCAGCCCGGAGCAAACCCGAGCCCTGCTCCGCCACCTCCACCTGCTGCTCCTCCTCCCCGGTGGGCTGTGAGGACCGAGGCGGGTGACCCCATCGGTCATAACGTACATCGTCCAGAGAATAAGGACCTCTCACACGTGCATCACGCTGCCATTTAATACCTCAATGTACCTGCGTGTTTAATCAGCAGCAGCTGCGCTGCCTGTTGCTCAGAGCGCCGCGCATTCCAACAGGTTGTAGCGGCTCGACGCGCACCAACACAGACAGCAAACATCCATCCAAGAGACAAAGTCCTCGCGCGGGGACCTACCTGCTGAGATGCTGTCTTCCTCCTTCACACGCGCGTCTACATAACCGCGGGGGCGCGCCCCTTGCCGGGTTTATCATACGGGTGCGCGCAGGAACCCTCGCGTAAGTCGCTGTAGCTGGGGAACATTTATACAGACGTACCGTTGCCATTGACGACATGTTCAACTCACAGGAAGGAGATCTGTTTACGTTACGAGTTAAAGAGTACGAAGACTTCTGAAACCAACCCGTGCTTAGTCTGCTCCCACACAGCTGCTCGGCAGTGCTAAGCTAACGCTCTTTAACGTATTTAACGTTAACTAACTTTAGCGTTACATTACAAGCACGAGCAACGAGATGTGAGGGAGGCCGCCGGTACGTCACCGTGGGTACAGTTATTATTACATTTATGCGACTTTATGGTAACGTTTCGTCACTGTGGCTAAACGTATATAACGTTTCTGTTGACAGGAAGTGGTGCGTCACTATGGCTATAGGTGTATACTTAAGACAGGAAGTGGTGCGTCATTATGGCTATATGTGTATACTTAAGACAGGAAGTGGTGCGTCATTATGGCTATAGGTGTATACTTAAGACAGGAAGTGGTGCGTCACTATGGCTATAGGTGTATACTTAAGACAGGAAGTGGTGCGTCACTATGGCTATAGGTGTATACTTAAGACAGGAAGTGGTGCGTCAATGCGGTTAGAGGTGTATAATGCTGACAGGAAGTGGTGCGTCACTGACGTTCGAGGTGTATAATGCTGACAGGAAGTGGTGCGTCACTGTCGTTAGAGGTGTATTCTGATGACAGGAAGTATAAGTAGTACAATGCTTGATGGCCTAATTTGTGTCTAATAGGCTTATCCCACTTCCACCATGCACATGGACAGTGGACTGGGAGAACTGGAGGCCCAGCTGGCCAGTAAAGAGCGTGAGTGGAAGGAGCTCCTGGCTTCAAGGGATCGTCAGCTGGAGAGCTCCCTCAGTGAGGCGCAGGAGGAGTGCTTGTCCCTCAGGTACCTGCTTCATGTCCACCTCACCTCAGAATAACAATGACTGTGAACCTCAGCTTTTAGCTGGAAGTATTCCTAAAAAATGTAGGATTTCCACATGGAGCCTGGTCTCTGGCTTTCACGGGACCAGTACACATTGTTAGGTTGCAACAAAATTACTTTTTCACTTTCACTTCATCTATTAATTATTTTGCAGCTAATAATTCAGTCTTTTATATTTTAAAAGAATTGTAACGATAAAAATTGCCCATCACAATCTTCCAAAAAGTCTTTCTTTTTTGACCAGCAATGCAAAACCAAAATCTGTTCTGTGTTTTCATAAGCCCTTTTTTGCTTGATAACATAAAAAATCATTAATAACCAGCATCTGATCAACGCATCAGTTTTATGCAAACACGTCTTCAGTCATCCCTTCTCTGTGGTCAGTGCCCCCCCAATATAATGTTAGGGGAAACACTGATGCTGGTGCTTGAGTCCATGCAGAGAGACACTGCGATGTCTCAGGGTGGACAGATTGTTTTGTCTCTGGTGTAAAACTGAGAAGCTCAATTTTTGTTATAAACATCTATAAAATAGAAATATAATTGTTTCACCTGCTTAAGTAGAAAAAGCATGCATCGGTGCATGGAAATGACGGGTGTCTTTAAACCCATTGAACTGTATTTTATATTGCCTGTGTGTTCCCATCAGTCCCGTCTGTAACACTAACTCCTGTGCAGACTGAAACTATTTGACACAATCCACTGCTTGTGAATCAGGACCCAAAACCCCTCTGATCTCACATCTAATACATGTCCAGGTGCCGATAGTTTAGGGTTGCTAGTGCTTCCCCCAACACACACCACATGTTCAACCATGGATTTTATCATGGGCAGAAGTCAGTGTGGTCAGAGATAACTTCTGTCTGCACTGTGCAGTGAATAAAACCCTCCTAGTCAAAGAATGTTTCCTCAGCTGCATGCAGTGCTCTCTGAATGCAGATTATTAACACAGGTTTTGAAATGTGTGTCAGGATATCGGCCTCCAGCCCAAAACAATGGAGGCCTGTAGATTATCCAGAGTAACCAGGACATTGTGTCGGGACAGACTCATTGCTATCGCATGCTGCTGAAATGTTGAAATGTCATATTTGATTCCGTGAGCACCACAAACTGAATTCCATCCTCCTCCTTTGTGTTAGGGTGGAGGCAGATATCTCAAACCCAAACTGAAACACTGGGCTTCACGGCGGACTACTCGTACAGGCTTGTTCTTGAGGGCACCTACGAGCCCGGGCTTGCTTGCGTTTGCTGAAACTAAGTCAAAGAAAATCAGGATTTTCTTTGACTTAGTTTCAGCAACTTCTATACGGTGTCTTCTCATTGTGCATGTATTGTTTATCTAGTTCTTTATTTGTTGTGGTTTATTTCTTAATAAGGGGTTTAACTTCATCTGAACTCATTCATCTGCGAACTAACTGGCACAGAGAACCCAGCCTTGTGCTCCATGTGAGCAGCCTCACTCCCTCCTCTGTGTACGTCATGGAAAAAACTCTTCTCCTATCTTTTTTGGACCACAATAGCTGATGTGCTTTCTCTTTCTCACACACAACACACACACACACACACACACACACACACATGTGGGGCCTCTGTCCCACTAAACTGCTCCCCATCCATGAACCAGGCAGGATACATATTCACACGCTCTGCTACCTGCATAACACGATGGATTACAGGGCCGTGTTTTGGCGTCGGGGCGGGTGGATGGGGGTGGATGGGGGGGTGTGGGGAGGTGGAGACGGTGCTTTCAGGGTCCGATCGATGCTGCGAGGTGCGTCCGCTCCCGCCGCCCCCCTCGCCATCCACGCCTTAAATCTTCTGCTGCCTTTAGAATAACTTATTTCCCCGTTAAGATGGTTCAGCTACCGTAGAGAAAAGGGCGCCGTCTCTCGCTCTTTAATCTCATGAAGCGCTCGGCGAGAACGACAGCTTTGTTTCTCCGACGCGCCCTGAAAGCAGCTCCGTATCTCACGCGCTGAGCGCCGCTCAGCATCTCGCCGTCGTAATGAATTAAGAAGATTATCTTCTTTTTCTGTACTTTGTCATTCTTTGGCTTTTAAGGCTTTTTGTTTAGAGCAGCAGGTTGCTAGGCAACGGGAGCAGCGGAGGTAAAGCTGATGACGCAGGCAGGAAGTGCCCCGTAGGACAGACCGTCCCATTTCAGAGACCGCTGGGTTCAGCCTATGCAGTTGATGGAGGACCAGCCCAGGTAGACCTGAAGGCTGCGGGCTACAAGGCTGCGGGCTACAAGGCTGCAGGCTGCAAGGCTGCGGCTACAAGGCTGCGGGCTGCAAGGCTGCGGCTACAAGGCTGCGGGCTACAAGGCTGCGGGCTACAAGGCTGCAGGCTAGCGACTTTGAGACACGGCTCCGGCCGCGGGGCGCTGTCCCCCCCACTGCCCTCGCTTCCCTCTAGATTGAGTGGATACTGCTTCATGCATGGGCAGAGATCTTGTTGAGCGCGGGTTAGGGGTCAGGGTTGAGCTGTTACCCAAAGCTGATAACATCACAGGCTATCGTTTCCTACTCCTAATGGAAAGGTTTTTCCTTTAGTAGATAGCGTGACGTCACATGTGGGTGTGAGGGGGCTTGACCAGGTTCTAACGTGCCAATGGCTTGTACAAGTTTGTAGTATAGTCGAAGGTTCACCAATTACCTGCTCTTCATTTTGCTCACTTTGCTTTACCAATCAATGAATTCTCAATCTAATTCAATCACAATAATGTCCTTTCAAGTTTGACTTCTGACTTCAAAACTGAAACGCTCCGTCGTCCATCTACCAGCTGAACCTAAAGGTTTCTGGTCCGTCCGTCCAACCTCTACTGAGTGTGCAGATACAGTGACATGCAGGACTCACCCAGCGTGCTACGTTTCGTCATGGGGTGAACACAGATAAAATCATATATATATATATATATATATATATGTGTGTATAACGCGCTGTTGCTCAGAAGGTGTCTGTTATAATGTAACTTGTTTTTCTGTGACAGACGTGGTAAAAAGTAACACTCAGCCAATATCTTTGGTTTTACATTTCGATTTGATTTCATTCATTTGATGTGGTAATTTAAGTGCTTCAGCGTTAACAGATTTTTAACATAAATAAAAGCGGGCAAAAAATTACTTTTGAATTAATTATAGAATTTTGTGTAATCAATGAACCGCCATTAAAACATGTACCCGTTGTCCAGCATATATGTGTATATGTCGCGTGTAGGGTCGACGGTGCACAAGGTTGGTGGTTTGAGTCCCGGCTGAGCGAGACACCTGACCCCTAATTGCTAAAATGTAAACGCCGTGGGTTAAAGATGCATCGTAAGTCGCTTTGGATAAACGCGTCAGCTAAAGGACCTGCAACGTAATAATGTGCGTCTTACTAAAGTGGCCTTGCGAGGGATTCAGAGGCCACATCAGGGCTCCTGCTGCGGGGCGTCACTGCTTTAGTATCTCTCTCTTTGAGTGTTTTGTGATGCTTCATTTGTCAGAGAACGTTACCAGAAACTGAGGGAAGATTTCCAGTTCAACCTCGCCATCCTGGACGAACGAGACCTGGAGCTGGAGAGGTCCGACGTGCTGGCGGCCAGAGCTCTGAGTGAGGAGAGCGACAGGTATCTCCACCCAATCCACGACCACGGGAAACCGCTGGCTTAGTCTAGTTACTGTAGGTTAGTCTGTGGCGCAGAACACAACTAGTCTTCTAAAGGGTTGTTCTTTGAAACATAAAAGAAAAAAGTCATTAAAAGAATTTAAATAATAATAATAATAATACAGCCTATAATACAATCAAATTGTAAATGTCATTTAAGAATGTCGACCTGCAGAAACGGTCAATTGAAGGCAGCAGCAAACAGAAAAGCCTTCAATCTGGATTTAAAAGAGCTGAGGGACTGAGGGGCCTTCTGGGACTTGTGGAGCATGTTTAGTTGTGACAGAAAGTGGACCCGTCCCAGGAGACCTGAGGGTTCATGGTGGTTCATAGGTGATAATCAGCAGATCAGAAATGTACTCCTCGTCATTACTGTCACCATCATTAACAGACTACTACTCGCTGTTGGTTGATGGTGTTATATTTAGACTGATAAGGACGTCCTGGTGTCCTGTGCAGGCAGCGGGAGCTGAAGAGCCTCCGTGTCCTCGTCCTTCAGCTGGAGAAGCAGAGAGACAGAGACGCTGTGGAGACGCAGCAGCAGCTGGACGAGCAGCAGCGGTGAGTCGGAGGGAGGAACCCACCTTCATGCGCATGAGAGCAGCCTCCAACTCCACCGCCCACGTCTGTGGACGCGCAGCACGGCTACGAAGAGTTAGCATGTTGATATTGAATCTTCAGTAACATGAAAACGCTCCGTCCTAAGTAATGTTAGTTTGTCTGAACTAGAACATGGAATAAGGACATGAGCAACCATATTTTACCGTTACTACAGGTGGAGGCGTCGCGTCCGCGGCTGCAGGAGGCGTGTTTCTTCCTTTAGTGCTCATGGAACTCTTAAATATGACAAACCGGCAGGAAAAGGTCGTCTCCCGACAAACGCCTTTCATCAATGATCCGACCTCTAAAACGATCGGGAGCTTTCCTCCCGTCACGTCCATGTGTCCTTGGGCAAGGCACTTAACCAACATGGCTCCTGTAGCTGCGACTACAGTGTGTGGATGTTAGTGACTGATGGCAGGTGTCACTGTGTGTGGTTCTCCTGTCATCAGTGTGTGAATGATGTCATGTAGTGTTAAAGCGCTTTGAGTGGTCAGAAGACTAGAAAGACGCTGTTCAAGTTCAGTCCATGTACCGCTGTCGTCATGTGTGTGTGCTGCATGTAGCTCTGCGGCTGCAGAATCTCAAAGGCTAACAGAGGAGCACGAAAGGATGAAACGGGATTTGCAGTGCAGAATACAAGAGGTGGAGGGAGAGCTGAGCCTGCAGAGACAGGTGAGGACACACACACGCTTTCATCCCTGTGAATGTCCCGTGTCTATATATAACACGCTTGTGTATCATGTAATGTAACGATCAACATGGGTGAGTATGTTTGAGGACAAACAGTAACTCTATACGTCGTGCACACATTCAGACCTTTACCATGACCCAGAGACAGCGGCTGTGTGTGTGTGTGTGTGCGTGTGCGTGTGTGTGTGTGTCTCCTTGGGGTCAAAGTTTACAGCAGGTCCCTTGATGAAGTCTGAGCTGCTGGTCCTCCTCTACTCTTGAACCCGTCGCAGGAAGTGGAGTACCTTTGTAGTTATCTCAGTCTCCATCGTACAGCAGCAGTCTCCCGCTTGTGGTTGTAGATCCATCATTCCTTTCTCCTGAAGAGACACATGGGGCTATAAACAAAGGCAGAGGTGTGATTCTAAAGAGGACCAATGTGCTCCATTGTGGGTGACTGTGGGTGAGCGGAGAGCAGAGTCGTCTTTGAATGATTGGAGACTACAAGAGAGATGAAGTGCATCTAACATGGACATGCTTCTTAAATGGCAGTCTCTTCATCTACATGCTCCATGAACTGTGTGCATGCATGACTCTGAATAGCCATTGGCTGTGCTGCAGCTCGCTGAGCGTGGTCCATGAGAGCCAGAGACAGATCTATTTTCGATCTTCTGCAGAGGATCACTGGTTTTGGTAACGACCTTTTCTATGAGGCTCCACACAAACAACAAGAATTGATATGCACATCCTCATATAGCCTTCTGAGCACTGCGTGGTCTGTTGCATAGGTAAGATGAGATACTCCAGCTGCTAAGGCATCTCAGGGAAAAGCTGACTGACCCGTTTGACCCAATGATCCCTTTCACTGAAATACCAGCAGCTGTTCCCTGCACACGTTTCCATATGAACAACCAACCTCCACGTTCGCCACTCTGCAGCTGGACTGAGCATCACACCAACACTAATACGTTCCTTCTGCCTCCATGAATGTCTTCCCTCCAGGAGCAACGTGCTTCACATAAAACCATTAAAACCACTGAAACATAAAGCAAAGACATTTACAAGCAGTTAAGGATATTGATTGAAACATAAAAGAAAAACAATCATTCAAAAGACAAATAGAAATAGAACACATTTTGCAGTCTAGTATTCAAGTCATTCTGAATGGCAGAAAGGGTGAATTAAAGGCAGCAGGACACAGAAAAGTCTTTAATCTGGACTTAAAGGAGCTGAGGGACTCCGTCTGGGACTTTGTTCCAGAAATGTGGAGCAGAAAAACTGGTTGAGTTCTGACTCTGCTGACAGAAAGTAGACCCGTCCCAGACGACCTGAGGGTTCGTGACGGTTCATAAGGTGATAATCAGCAGATCAGAAATTTACTTTGGCCCTAAACCATTCAGAGCTTTATAAACCAACAGCAGGATTTTGAAGTCAATTCTTTGTTTGACAGGAAGCCGGTGTAAAGACCTGAGAAGTGGCGTCATGTGATCCACTCTCCTGGTCCTATGAGGACTCGAGCTGCAGCGTTCTGGATCAGAGACGTGTAAACACACTGTTACAGTAGTCGAGTCTACTGGAGATAAATGCATGAATCCACCAAGACCAGCTGAACCACCATCACCCACAAACGGGCTGTTCCCCTGTTCACTGTTTTCAGTGTGCTGCGGCCCACGGTGTAGATGTCTGGGTAGTTACTGTAAAGAATATCTGCATGTGATGTTTCTCCTGTGTCACTGCTGGGTAGATATCTGACCTTTTCAAGGCCAACCTGCCCTCCTGCCACGGATCACACTCAGGGCTGTCCTGTTTTTAGGCCTTTGGCCTTTTCCTCCAGCATCTGGGAAGTATGCTGGCCTTTGAGTCTGGCTCGGGGACAACATGCCAGCCTTTGTGTGAGGAAACGGGTCCATACAAACCTCCTCAAATTACACCAAAAGCACTTGGACCAAATACCTGGAACGGTGCACTACAAAGCAGCACATGACTCAGCTTATGATCTAGAGAAATTATACTTGGAACTGTCAAGTGGGTTTGAAAAGCCAGAAGACCTCCCTTAAAGGAGACATTTAAAGACCCTTACTCGTATTCAGAGTTTCCTCCTTAACATGTCCCATGAGGATACTGAGACGGTTTAGCGGGTTGAAGTCAAAAAGAGCAAGTGGTGTTGCATAGGTCTGTGTCTCCGAGACGACGTAAGATCGAGCTGGACTGGAACTGGACTCAGCGAGACCACTGGAAGTATCGGAGGACTGAGGCAAAGAGATCATAAAACAACTCTAATACAGATTATTTTCTCACATTTGATGATGTGTTTCTCTTCCCACAGGGTCTCACACCAAAGGCAGATTCACTGGCATTAGAGGAGATCCGTGGTCTACAGCAGCAGAACAGCGTCCTGCGGGACGTGGTTACTCACATGAGGAAGGACATGGAGGGTCTCATCCATCTCCAACCCCATCATCAGGCAATGCCACAGGCCTCCTCCCCTCAGCCAGGTCAGAATCCAGGACCCCCTGCTGGCGTCGCCATCCCTTCTACAGCTGACCCTCAGAGGCCCACAGGACCACCGGACCAATCCACTAACATCTCCTTCAAAGTTGGCCCAGGAGGTGAGGAGGGCACTATTTTACACTGAAGTCCATTCCGCTGACAGTAACCATTCCTTGCTGTGTGTACTTTAGCAGTTTCACAAAGATTGTCTTTGCCCGTGACTTACACCAAAAGCACAGTCAGACAACAGATGGACGTCTCAATGAATCTGTTGCACAACTCTGTCTATTTCCTGACTCTCTAGAAGGGGACGTATGTATGGAAGTAAATCTGTGTCATCGGATTTTGACAGAAAAAGGTGATTGAATTTCTAGCACTAAATATTTATGCATTGAAATCATGTATCTCAATAGTTTTAGCGATAAAAAATTCAATGCAAATAAATTCAACATCCAGGAACCCAAGGAAGAGCAATCGATTCTAGATTCACGATCGGGACGTGCGTCAAGCAAAAGGAGCGAGCGCCCCAACACAACTTCAGCTCGTCGACTAGGATGACCGGATTTCAGCCACGTCCATTAATAATAATAATAATGGTAATTAATAATGGTAAAGAATCCAGTAATCTTACAGACACTGGTTACCAGGGTCCCCTCTAGCGTAACTAGTGAGGGTGTAGAGGACGTGGGTAACTTAGTGGAGGGAGATGGGAGCTGGTAACTAGCGAGGGGAGAGGACTGGTAACTAGTGGGGGGAGAGGACTGGTAACTAGTGGGGGGAGAGGACTGGTAATAACTAGCGGAGGGGAGAGGACTGGTAACTAGTGGAGGGAGAGGACTGGTAACTAGTGGAGGGAGAGGACTGGTAACTAGCGAGGGGAGAGGACTGGTAACTAGTGGGGGGAGAGGACTGGTAACTAGTGGGGGGAGAGGACTTGGTAACTAGTGGGCGAGTATACTTAACTAGTTATATTATATGTATGCAAAATATTCCTATGGTTTCATAATGATTTAATACATTTAGTAAATGTGATGTAAACAAACCACTCAAGTGTTCCTTCCACCAACTTCCTTATTTGTCTTCATAATGTCAAATAAGACTATCCGCTAACCGTTGGTTAGGAGACTAAATCATAGAGGGAACAAACTATTACGCAAAACGTCCAGATCAAAGATGATCAATCAATGTTTTTACCCAGACTGGTCCCACGATGTGTATTTGCCCTGTAGCAGCCCGCATTGACCTCCTCCCCACATCTACAGGATGCGTTAGAAGCACATCGTAGTCATGTGGTGCTGCTGCAACAGCGTGCTTCCTGCATCCAACTGTCCTGACAAGGCTCTTATTGTGAAACATTTAACGTTCCAGTATGAGACTGAACATGTAGCTACGGGAACATTGTGCCACTGTAACGGTATTGAAGAAAGCCCTTCTGCTGATATTAGCACACACACACACAGCATTGAATGGTTTTAATAGAGAAGTCCTCTAGTGAGTAAGTGCGATACTCTGAGCTGTTACATGGATGCATGAGGAGGGGGTTTGCAGTGACGTGGTTTTCTCTCGTCATGGTCAGGTGGTCTGTGCTGGGAGGAAAGTGGCCACGCCTCTACTTGGGCAAAGCAGGAGTTCAGCCCGGAGCACAGCGAGTCGGCTCCGGCCGATGTCACAGAGCAGGTAATGTGTGAGAAGAAGTTTCCTCGTTGAGCTTCTGGCCAGGCGGCTGCTTGAAGCAGTGACACCCGTCTGTGGAGCAGAACTCTTCTCAGTACTGGACCGTGTCCCAGCAGGAAGGGTGCTGTCCGTTAGTGACATGATGGGGGAGATCGTGACAACCCACTTGCTTCCATCCGTCTCCTCTCCCCGACAGAGAGGCCGGTCAGGTGCTGGCTTACGACGCGAGCCTCCTCTCCTGCGGTCCAGGCTGAAGCGGGCGGCTTCCTGCATCGCCCGTCTGAGCAGAGAGAAGCAGCAGCTGATAGAGATGGGGAACCGCCTCCGAGCCCAGGTCACCACTGCTGGACCGCAGGGTGCAGCAGGTTTCTGATTAACGCCTGGCTGTAGTGATTGTGCCTTAGAGCTTTATTACTAGAATAAATCAACCAGGAGAGGGGAGAGTAAACATCGCCTGCCTTTACGTCACTAAGCACTATTCCTTGACCTCTGTGGAACATGTCACAGGGTCAGAGAAGGATGGATAGGAGAGTTCATGAGGAGTTAGGAAAGGACAAGCTGGTGTTTTGTGAATCGACTAATTTCTTTATGGTTGAAATGCACATCTAACATATATTTGTATGTGTAAACATAAATAAGTATAGAGCCACCGTTAGTAGACCAAACACAGGGAGACTGTTGTGAGGATGGAGGAGCTAGGAGCTAGGAGCTAGGAGGGGAGACGGGATACCTTGGAATGAACGTGTGTGTCTGACAGCACCAGTGGACCCAGAGAAGCCCAGAGAGCAGCGGGACCGGCTCCTTGCTCTGGAGCGACTGCAGTACCAGCTGACCACTCAGGTACCAGCGTACCTCCCACAGCCCGGCTGTGCTCACCTCGTCATGCAATCATACAATACACGTATTCTGCCACCTAGTGGTAGAGCAAATTGTCAATTGGCTTATTTGAGGAAATTGCACTTTCTTGTTTCTTGTTCTCCTGAGTTTGTACCCTGTGGTTGAATGCACTTATTGTACGTCGCTTTGGATAAAAGCGTCAGCTAAATGACATGTGATGTAGTGTAGTGGTAGAGATGTGAACACGTTCCCTCTGCGTCTTCTCAAACTGCTCTGTTCACTGAAGCAACGGCTCAATACTGGAAAATTAACCACAAATCACTTTAAATAAACTATATTTTTACCTACATTATTAACTCTATTCACAACAGGGAACCGATTTTAATGATGTACATGGATGAATGGAATCACATCTGTGTGTAAATGGTAAATGGACTGAACTTGAACAGCGTCTTTCTAGTCTTCTGACCACTCAAAGCGCTTTAACACTACATGACATCATTCACACACTGATGACAGGAGAACCACACACAGTGACACCTGCCATCAGTCACTAACATCCACACACTGTAGTCGCAGCTACAGGAGCCATGTTGGTTAAGTGCCTTGCCCAAGGACACATCGACATGCGACATTAGCAGGGCCTGGGATGGAACCGACAACCCTCTGATTGGAGGACGACCTGCTCCCCGCTCACCCACAGTCGTTAGCATTCAGCCCCCGGAGCAGCGAACACTCAGCTGGAGGACCCGACCCCGTCACCACAGGGTCATCACAGCACATTTATTCATTTAAGGTCAAAACACAACACAACATTTCATTCTTGGAATGTTATTTTAATTCAATTGTAGGTATCGATCAATGTGCGGACGTGACGGGAGGAAAGCTCCCCCACAGTCGCCCGTGTAGTCAACTACTGCTGCTAATGTTCTTCTGATGTTAACCTCGCAGACTGAGTTCTAGCATACTAACGTTCCATTGCGTTGATTCCATTGCGTTGTTTAGCTACAGCGCTTTGTATTTTCTTTTCATAGTCAAAAAGCTGAAGTAAAAGTCTGCCGTTTTCTGTGGAGAACGCTGGTGCACACAGACCTGACATGACAGGAGTCCATGATGTCCACCGTGGGTTTATCTCCAACAAACACCTTAGCAAAGCAATGCACCTAGAGCCATGAAGACAGCGCGTCGGTTCCCATGGTCCAAACCTGGGTCTGCCTGAAGGACTGGGGGGACGGGGCTCCTCTGTTGTACCTCCAGGGGGCGCTGTGGGGTCACTAATGTGTTTGTGCCTTCAGGAGCTGCAGTACGCACTGATGCAGAGACCTGGCCCTTTGGCTGCACCACTCCTACCTGGAACCAACCACCCCGGTCCCACCACTGAAGGACCTGCCAACCCTTGGTCCCGGGGCCACAAAACCAGAGACAGGCCTGAGGTAACAGAGTCAATATTGCATTCACCGATGAGCACCGTGTTCAGCTCTTCATGTAAAATGCATATCTTCCATGTTCATTCAGTGTATGTATAATAATAACGTTGTAAGCAAAGGTGTACAAAGTACAGAAAGGGTATTCCTTGTTTGGAGACATCTCTGTCCCCCCAGGACAGAGAGAGCCGCCTCAGCCAGTCCCAGGGCCCGCTGGACGTGGAGCTGTCCGGGTGTCGGTTATCATCAGACGGGTCACTGCGCTCCTTAAAAGAGCTGTGGGAGATTCTGGACGGTGGACTCAGTCCATCTATTGTCTCAGAAGGTAACCACTCCAGGATGTAAAATGTTGTACCCTAACTACACACTCTGCAGCTCCAGCCGTTGTGGATATGCATGAAGGGTTTGTTTCAGCATGGTTGGTCTATTGTACATTAGGATGTGCTTCCTGTAGTCAGTGTGTGGTATTTTGTTACAGAGACCACGGTTTGTATTCACACATCTAAGAAAAAGTGCAGCACCTACAATGTGACAATCCCGACTGTAACATCTACAATGTTAATGCTCATACAAAGACGGGACAAAACCGGTGACCTTTGGCCCGTGTTCCAGTCACGTTGTTTCGTGGCACGTCGGCGTCCTGTGGAAACATTCTGGACAATAATGTAGGTGCTTTCTCATCCACCCACTCAAGTTAGCAGCACCTGTTATGTACTCTCATTCCACACGCTCGGTGTGAGGGTAAAGCATGTGGGAGCTTTCAGAACGATAGAAGCATCTAACATTTAATGTCATTGGTACAGTGAGACAGAAATATTCAAAAGCAACCTCACATAACCAAACGAACTACCATGTCTGTCCACCATCTGGTATCATCGTGCAGAACTGGACCCTGCACAGACCTTCCCTGGACGACCACTGCCAGGGCTGCTGAGGCGGTTCAAAGGTCAGGATCTCCAGGTCCTACTCCTGTCAGGCTCCTGCCTGGGATACATGGAGATTTAATAGCTGTGTCTGCCTGCACTAGTTCGTCTCTGCGTGAGGGACAGGATGTCTGTCAAGTTGTCGGAGGTCTTCACTTGATGCCCCTTTCCCCGGCCTGAAAAAGGGGCTGAAATTTAGTCTGCCACAAAATGGCCCAGTTTGAACCCGGAGTCGGATCAGCGATGGATAGATGGAAGGAGGATTGTTGCCTAATTCGTGTCTGTAATCTCTGTCAACTGTCCAGGGAACAATTTCTCAACTAGATCAGGCTCACACACTCATGCCATCGAATAGTTGTGAAACCAGGCAAACCTTGTGTAATGGCTCAGTACACTTTGATAAGTGTCCTCACCAGGTCAAACCATTTATTGTAGATATCAAACAGCTGATGGGTGAAGGTTAGATCAAGTTCCTCTCTATCATTGTGAGCGAGCACAAATCCCAAAGTGAAGTTTACGATTGGTCAACTGGTATCGCTCCATTTCCAGATCTTTCTATGTGTAGCTCTATATCTAGATCCGTATTCGTACATAGATCTGTATCTAGCTTTATATCTGTATATGGATCTAGATCTGTACCTAGATCTGTATCCGTATATAGATCTGTACCTACCTGTTATATCTGTACCTAGATCGTATAGCTCTTATCTAGCTCTCTATCTGTACCTGTATATAGATCTATATCTACCGCTGTGTAGATCTGTATCTGCATAAATATCTGTATCTAGCTCTGTATAGATGTTACCTAGCTCTATATCTGTATATAGATCTGTACCTATATCTGTATAAGGTATGTATCTAGCTCTATATAGATATGTATCTAGCTCTGTATAGATTTTACCTAGCTCTATATCTGTAGCTGTATATAGATCTGTACCTAGATCTGTACCTACCTGTAGATATGTATCTAGATCCGTAGCTAGAACTGTATGTAGCTCTGTATAGATCTGTACCTACTTGTATATATGTGTATAGATATAGGTATGTATCTAGCTCTATAGAGATATGTATCTAGCTCGGTATAGATCTTACCTAGCTCTATATTTGTACCTGTATATAGATCTATATCTAGCTCTCTAATGAGACATTCTCTGATCGTATAGAATCAAATCCCACTTTGTCTCAGTGCGAACAGGGAACATCTGCATCTTCTGTTGAAGGTCAATTATGACCACCAATGTAACTACTTCACTCTTTTAGGACACATTTCCCCACTCGGACACCCACAGATTTAAACGTCATGATGACAAATCTCTTGTGTGCACCTACAGGTGAGGGTGAGCTGAGCGGGAAGAAGCTGGCGGACTCTGGTGATGCTGGAGTTCAGATGACAGTGTTTGGTCGCTGTGCACCCATCCATGGCCTGCCCCCATCCGCGGTCCAGCCCAGGAAGTGCCCTCCTAAAAGCCCATCAAACCCCACCAAGACCAGCAAGCCTGCACCCACTGGCAGGACCTGCACCATCAGAAACTACAACGTTAAAGACTGACATGGACACGTGTCACTCTGTCAGTGTCTGGTCATAAGTCCTACTCGTCCCCTGAGAACAGAACCCTGATTATGTCACTTATGTAGGAGTGTGGATGTAGCTGCTTTGTAGTAAATTCCCTTTTTGTTTTTCTTTCCCTTAAATACGGTTCCAAGATGTGCCAAATTGTCTCTTTATTGATTGAAGTGTTCAGAGGTAAATGTGACCGTGAAGCTCCAGGGTCAAAGAGCTCCACAAAGGTCCATTTGAGTTTCCAACGGTGGCCTCACCAAAGTCGGTCCCCCCTGGTGGTTCGTAGTTCACCAGACAGCCAGAGGACATCCTGTGTTAACCAAGAGCTGCTCTGTCCCCCCGAGGCCTTTATCTCTCCTCACATTCACTGGCATCTCTCTTCCTTGAACCCTTTAAAAATACATCAAATACCATAAAAAGCCTTTGCAATAAAGCCACAAGGTGAAAAGAAACTTTACATTGTTGAAGCTCCGTAATGTCTCAGAAATCTGACTCACCTCATTGCAATAAAGCTGCAGAGCTCCATCCTGTTATTCTGCATAAAGGCTGTGAAATTCATCTCTGTTAAACAAAGAGTGTCAGTTAATTAACGTGGGTTAAAACAAACATTTCTATGTGTTATCAAATTTAAGACCATTTCTGCAAAGCTCATGTGTTTTATTTTGGTAACTTCCTGTCTGTGCTCACTGACTTGTTGCCACAGTCGGTCAGTGGAGAAACACATCACGCTGTCTGACAGGATGAACGCCAGTAACCCGCACCAGTCAGACGAGCTGCCCCGCTACGTCACAGCTCCTGTCCCCGCCTCTTAATCACCCTATCCCCGGCAGACCCGCCCCTCTGCTGCTATTGGACGGAACTCCACCACCGCGCTTTGTGATTGGCCTATGTGCATGTCACCCAGAACGCTTTGCTGTTCCCACGTGTGCCTACACCGGTCTTCAAGTTCACTTTCGGTGTTAAATTAGGATGTTTAAACATGACCCTTCGTCCCAGTCCGAAGCCCCGCTCTGTGAGCGTGTCTGTCACTCTGTATACAGGATAACAGGCTTTTCATTGTGTCTAATAACGCAACAAAGCACACAATACTGTCTGTACTGACAACAAAACAGCTCACAACACAAATACATAATATTAGACAATTAAATGGTTGATCAGAATCACAATCAGAAGCCATTTTTGCCACATATGAGGGATTTGTCTTATATAAAATAAAATAAGATTAAAAATAAAATAGCACCACCATGAGTTTCACTTTTCAAAATAAAAGACCACAGCAACCACCTATAAGTGTGAAATCCATCATGGGGTTTAAGGTGCCATCATGCACCCATCCATCCATCCATCAGGGGTTTAAGGTGCCATCATGCACCCATCCATCCATCCATCAGGGGTTTAAGGTGCCATCATGCACCCATCCAACCATCCATCAGGGGTTTAAGGTGCCATCATGCACCCATCCATCCATCCATCAGGGGTTTAAGGTGCCATCATGCACCCATCCATCCATCCATCCATCCATCAGGGGTTTAAGGTGACATCATGCACCCATCCATCCATCCATCAGGGGTTTAAGGTGCCATCATGCACCCATCCATCCATCCATCAAGGGTTTAAGGTGCCATCATGCACCCATCCATCCATCAGGGGTTTAAGGTGCCATAATGCACCCATCCATCCATCCATCCATCCATCAGGGGTTTAAGGTGCCATCATGCATCCATCCAACCATCCATCAGGGGTTTAAGGTGCCATCATGCACCCATCCATCCATCCATCAGGGGTTTAAGGTGCCATCATGCACCCATCCATCCATCCAACCATCCATCAGGGGTTTAAGGTGCCATCATGCACCCATCCATCCATCCATCAAGGGTTTAAGGTGCCATCATGCACCCATCCATCCATCAGGGGTTTAAGGTGACATCATGCATCCATCCATCCAACCATCCATCATGGGTTTAAGGTGCCATCATGCACCCATCCATCCATCCATCAGGGGTTTAAGGTGACATCATGCACCCATCCAACCATCCATCAGGGGTTTAAGGTGACATCATGCACCCATCCAACCATCCATCAGGGGTTTAAGGTGCCATCATGCACCCATCCATCCATCCATCAGGGGTTTAAGGTGACATCATGCACCCATCCAACCATCCATCAGGGGTTTAAGGTGCCATCATGCACCCATCCATCCATCCATCCATCCATCAGGGGTTTAAGGTGACATCATGCATCCATCCATCCAACCATCCATCAGGGGTTTAAGGTGACATCATGCATCCATCCATCCAACCATCCATCAGGGGGTTAAGGTGACATCGTGCATCCATCCATCCGGGGCGGAGCTGCGCGATAACACGCGCACGTCTGTTCACTGACTCAAACAGTATCACTCGCTCGCTGTCTCCCCCCCGATAAAAACGTTACAATAGTAAGCTGCATCCTAGAAACTGAAAGATTTAATGCGTGCTGAGTCCTGTGCCGGGTCGTCCGGCAGGGGCGGGGCTGCGAGGGGCGGGGCTAAAGCGCCGCGTCACGCTTAAACTCCTTTACCCCCGCGCGGTGTTTAGAGCGAGTCCCTCCATCAGTGGCTGGATCCGAGCCCAGCCTCTCTGCTTAATGGAACTGCGCAGCCGCGCCGCCATAGTTCAGCTCATGTGGCGTGGCCAGCGGCGATGTGAACACATTATAATTCATACCGGGAGACGAAGAGAAAGAAGCTGTGAAGGAAACCGCTCCTCTCAACTCACTTGACTAACCACGGGGGACGGACACATACTACGTTCCGCAGTCTACACAACAAAGCACCGGCCGGGTAAGGCTAACTTCTGCTAAATGTCGGTTAGCTTCCTAAA